AATCCAATTACGCCTCACAAGCTAACAAGATAGTTTTAACGCTGGCTAGTCTACGTATCCATGTTGTCGAATAAGGAGTCACTTCCTAACTAAAGTTTTAGTTATACAAACCAAATGTGTTTTTATATTTCATTTATTTGATTTACTATATTCGAAATAGGATATCATTGTCTATCTAGCAACTAATTATTCTGGAGCTACAAAAATTACAGTGAATACCTAATATTGCTAGGAGCCCACCGTAAAAATTTTAGATTCAACACTATTACCAGTTTATCACAATAATTCCTACAAATTTATATTTTTACCATATTAAGTACCATAAATTAATTATATAGCTCCCAAGAAAATTATCACACTATATGAACAAAATATACTAACAGGTAGATCACAATTTTAGGAGACTAACAAAATTAGTTTGGCATTTTTATGATTTTTCTATAATTTACTACGAATTTTACAAGTTTATTTATGAAACTAAATTAACAATTGCTTTAGAAATCTAAAAGGGCCAGTGGCCATCAGATCGGCCCAATGGATATGGCGAGCCTGAAGACAGATGACGGACGGCCCACGACGCCAGAGGGCAAAGGGCGCCCAAAGGGCAAGCGCCGGACCACAGAAGCGCCGAGCGGCCTTCAGACAATGACGGGAAGTGAGGTAGTCGCGCCAGGTCGAGGCAGTCTGTGACCACCCCAACAACCAAATTTACGCGCCATGATCCGTAGAGGATGCGTAATTATGCAAAAGGACCCCGTAGTTTTTCTAAATCGATCCAGAGTCCCGACTACACTATTCATGTGAGTCACGCTTTATCGCACCTAGGCCCTTCTCATATCTCTATTTACACATTTACGCCCTCACCTCCTTCCCCAAAGCAGATCACTTGACGGAGGGAGCACCGTAGATGGTAGAATCTCGCCGAGCGCTGTCGCCGACGGTGGTGGGGAGGCGGTTTACCGGCTTGCCTTCGATGCCGGGCGCACTATTGGAGGACGCGGCTCAACCATAGCAACAAGATGGTGCCCACGCCACGTCGCGTCTGCCGACGCCGGACCCAAGGAAGTCCATGGTGAGGGCACACCGGCGGCAAGGTGGTGGTGCAGGGGCGGCGCGGAGGGCGCCCAGAGCAATAGGCCATGGCGCGGCTGTGCGACGGATGCGACCAAGGTCCGGCAGGAGGGCGCCCGGAGCAATGGGCCAGGCCTACAAGGCAGCAGGCGCAGAGGCGCTGGAGGAGGCAGCTACGCAGGAGAGGCTCGGTCAGAGAGAAAGGCGCGGCCAAGAGGCGACCCTCGGCGTGGTCTTCCGCATGGCGGTGCGGTGAGGCAGAGTTGCGCTGCCTCAAGGCAAGCGGCCACGGCGAGGCGCAATGGTGGCGCAGAAGGACAGCGCGGCGGCGGGGCGCTGCGGCTCGGTCCAACATGGACCCGCGGCGATGCTCCGATGGCTACGGGCGCATGGGAGGGGCAACGGTGTTGTGGCCGTCCTAGAAGGGAAGCGGCCTTGGGCAACGCAGCCCGCAGCCGCTTCAGAGAGGAAATGAAGGGGCGCCGAGGAGCAACCGGCCCAGCACGAGATTCTCGACAAGGCAGCAGAACAAGGAGAAGGGAGGGGGAGGTGGAGCAACAAGGCGCAACGGCGACAGCGGCCTCGGCAGGCGTTGTGGGGCAGCGGGCACCGGAGATGGAACATCGCGGCCACACGTCCCAGGCGCGCTCTCTAGGGGACCGGCCACGGACGGCGTGAGGCGCGGTGCGGCGGCGCGTAACCACGGTGGCTGGACGGCAGAGAGGGGAACGGATGGAGGCAAGGAGGAGCAGACGCGCGAGGAAGAGCTAGGCGTCATGCGTGGCTCGTCACCAGCTTCATAGACGCGACGAGGGAGGAGATAGGGCAACATGGCACCATGCGGCCGCCAATGGCATGCCAGCGCGCGCACAGGAAGGTGAGAAGACGGCGTAGAGAAAAAGGGCGAGGAAACCTGAGCGAACTTGTCCGAGCACGTGGTTCGGTCAACGAGTTAGAAAGGACTTGGCGATGCAGCCACGATGCTTGGCTTCACGGGCAACAACAGAGACACTTGATTTGGAAGAAGCAAGTGAGCAGCGGAGCTGGACGGCTTGACGTAGCAGAGGCCACAAGGACAAGCAGAGACAGACAACAGCTGAACCTTGGCGTGCATAAGAAGGAGCGCAGGGAGAGAGAGCAGTGAGGCATGGACATGGCAGAGCCACGTGCTCCCATTAAAATTTTGGACACGACGCAAGCGAGGGAGAGAAAACAGGGGTGCAGGCAAATGGACGCGCTGAGGTGCAGAGCCACGACGGAAGACGAGGTGGTGCATAATTGCAAAGCAAGACGAGTACGCTGAAACCGCACCAGCAAAGTAAACGAAGCTGTTGCGCTCTCTCTCTCTCATCAGTTCGTGCTTATCAAAATAAACCCGTGAGTATATCCATATATATATCGTTCTATTTATTAATGGATTTTATTCTATTTATAAAAATTATTTTTCATGCTTAATCTAACAGAACAAACCGTTTGCTAGAATCGTCGTTCGACATTTCTAAATATCTCTACGCACTGCGTAATTTAACTTGAGCGTTTATTTGAGTCCACAAAACTAAGTCACATGAGATTCGCTTATCGCATCAAGTACATTTTAAATCCAAAAATTTCGAGAAACTCGTTTAAAATTTTTTACTTAGGCCTAAATCACGGTGCTAAACAAGCTCGTAACACCAGGGGTGTTACAGCTATGTCTCCTTATATATAGTAAAATAATATATCTAGAAATCTTATACTCTTATAAAGCAAAACTCCACTAGCTATTTCTCTCAACATGCAAGCTGTCAAACTAGATATGCACTATCACATACAATTAACATCCGCTAAGTAAAACTCCACTAGCTATTTATCTCAACATGCAAGTTGTCCAACTACCAATACACTATCACATACAATTTGTCGGTGCGAAATGTATCCAACAAGTAAATATTTATAGTTTTACCGTGCGTTGTGATCGGATGTGACCTAGCACGCGATGACATAGGATTTATACTAGTGTAGGCAACGTGCCCTACATCCAGTTTCAGTCGGTCGATGACTTTATTCCTGAACCTAGATGCTCGAAATTTGCTGTGGGGTTACAAACGAGTAAGTAATGAGAATGGGGTGCTAGAGGCCCGGTCGGACTCGAAACCGAGTGGAAGAAACTCATTTGGATGCTCAAACGCGGCGCTTAAGTATTGAAGCGTATGCTTTGTATGTCCGAGCTTATCACCGCTGAGAGCGTGTATCTTGTGGTAGAACACGAGTTCTAGAGCTGTTGAGTTGTCGTCCTCAAAGGAGAGAGCGCATCCCCTTTTATAGATGAAGGGGATGGCCTTACAAGTCAAAGACGGAAAGGAAGAGAGTGTGTACGGGTGCTACATAGTCTTGTTGCTCACGTCGTCGGGTACGGCACGCCATCGCCCACCTTACTGTTCATGACCTGGCAGGTTGCATAGTGTTCTCCTGGGAAGACAAACGACGGCGCCCACAATACTGTTTGTGCTCTACCGCATCTGGCAGGCCAGAGAAGGCCCGTCGACATGGCTCGACGGCATTGCAATCCTGCTTGAGTCTTGCAGGGCATGGCATGGTACGGTCCCCTCGGATTATGCGGTTGACTTGAGCGCCTTACCTTATTCGCTCCGCTTTGCTCCCGCCCACACCGAAAGCGGCGTCCGGTCGGTCGTTCCTTAATCGGCCCGACCGTGTTTCGCCGAGAAAGAGAGAAGAGCAAAGGTCCGCCATATCCTCGGCCGGAGGAACGGGTCGAGTTGGATCTGCAGCCCCCATCTCGGCCAACCCTCTTCGGTGAGGGGCTCACCAGTCTCTCGCCGGGAGGTGCTTGGGTGGGGGGCGGATCGTGGTCTCGGCCATCATTGTGTATCTAGGTTCGCCCAGACCCTGAACTTGCATGTCATTCTGCCTTCTTGAGCCAAGTATTGCAGGGAAGCGGGTCCATTGAGGACCTCGGATTTATGAACCCGACAAAATTATAGTCCACTGGCACGTGAAACTGTAACGTCCATGTTAGCAAGACATAACATTTTACTGTCCTAGTCATCCTACCACGTAATTCCCTAATCTATAATTCCCAGTGGCAACGCTACGGTAGTCCACCCGGTATCAAAACGTCTTAAAATTTTGAAGTAGAGTAAATATTTATTAATATTTCTTAGATATATAAATGTTAATGATTTTTATATATTTCATTAAAACTGAAATGTTCTCTGGAGGTCCCCACACGTCAGTGTTTGTTTTCGACAGAGGCTGCAGTAAAAAGCATGGGACGTCATTATACCGGGGCCCGTACTTTGAGGTCCCTTTTTCCTTTTCCCGCCGCTTGTGTTCGGCCCCTCTTTTCGGCCGCCGCGACGTGATCCTCACTGACGTGTGGGGACCCCGCTGCACCCCCCACGTGCCGCGGAGGCGACGGCGAGACAGTCAGCCCATGTGAGATCGCATGTAGACCCATATTAGTAGCGGGCCAGGCCACAAAGAGGACAGAATAAACAATATGGGTCGTGCCCATACTGTTCGTCACGACTCCTTTGAGGCCCAGTTTATTTGTATAGCTTACTCCAGTATCGTAGAACTGGAAAGCCTCGGTTTCTTCCACACTGGCAGGCAGCATAGCAAATTACTACTAGCGACACCCAAATCGATCCGATCGGTTCATCCGGCGAGATAATCCATGGCTGGCTGCTGTGCTAGGGTTTAGGTCTTCCTCGCCCAATTCCATCCGCACCCACCCCTCGGCGCTGCGACCTCGCGGAGCAGGATCGATTGGTTCGGTAAGGACCCAATCCCCGTTCCCCATTCCCCACTGAAGGGCCCAATCCCGTCTGATCGAACGCGTAGGCTAGGCTCTGGCGCGATGAGTTCGGTTAAATTCCAATTGGAATCCACGGCGCAATGCTTGGCTCTGACGGTGGTTCCGTCGCAGGATGGAGGACGGGGAGGCGGAGGAGGCGCAGCGGGACGCGATCACGGCGAGGATGCGGGCCCAGGACTACGCGGGCGCGAGGGCGCTGCTGCTGCGGACGCTGCAGACGAACCCCAGGCTGGAGGGCGCCCTGGAGATGCTCCTGGTGCTCGAGGTCCTCTGCTGTGCCGCCGGCAGCGCGGCCGGCGGCCGTGGGGGTGTGGACTGGTACAGGGTCCTCCAGGTGCTGCCCGGAGATGATGGCACCAGGATCGAGGCGCGCTACAAGAGCATCGTGGCCCAGGTGGAGCCGGCCATGGGGGCTCTGCCCGGCGTCGAATTGGCCCTCAAGCTCGTTGATGAGGCATACGTGGTGCTGTCTGATCCGGAGAAGCGAGAGGGGTTCAATTCGAGGAACGTGTTCAATCGGTTCGTTCGGTCTGGTGTTGTTGATGCGCCACCGCCCGGTGGTACAGTCGTCCGTTCTGACAGGGTGAACAGTCTTCATACAAAGGAGATTAGGGGCGCAGATGGTGCGAGCAATGCAGCCTCGCATGTCAACCACGCTGCTGACAGGCCATGTTTTGATGGAAGGGACCCCCTTCTTTCAAATGTGGCAAGTTCTTCCGGGACTAAGAGGATGGATCCTTGCTTTCATGGTGATGACGGCGAGTTGCAGTCACCTGACGGCACTCATGTTGACAAGAGGCAAAAGGGTGTCTGTGAAAAGGATGTTAATTGCATGTCGCCCTCACAGGAAGATTGGGATGCCTGCTTTGATGATCCATCACCTGCCATGGAAGAAGATTTGGATGCCTGCTTTGATGATCCATCTAGTGCCAAAGAAGATGAGCTCTGCACTAGCAAGCAGTATGAATACCATAACTTCAAGGAAGATAGGGCGATCAAGAATTTTGCTGCTGGCCAAGTTTGGGCAGCATTATGACTGGGAGAAGTTTCCTCGTAGATATGCACTGATTGTTAAAGTACCGACGGATAAGATGCAGTTATATGTCTCATGGTTCAAGCCCTGTCCGCAAACTCCTGAAGATAAGAAATGGTGCCATGCTGGCTTGCCATTGGTTTGTGGAACTTTCATTGCAGAAGAACACCATATCTCATTAACATGTTCAACTATGTTCTGTCACCAAATTTTCAGCAACAACCTGAATCAACATCTTGAAGTTTATCCCCAGGAAGGTGAGGTATGGGCCATTTATAGTAATTGGGGTATTGGGTGGTACACTGATCCTAGGATGTGGAAGAATAGTGCCTTCTCTATTGTTGAAATTCTTACCAGTTATTCTAGTGAATCAGGATGCACTGTTGCACATTTGGTAAAGGTAGATGGGAATGGAAGTGTTTTCCAGAGGCACTTCAAGAGTGGAACAGAGCACTTGTTACGCATACACAGGGACAATCTGATCATGTTCTCTCACAGGATCCCTTCTTTCAGATTTACTCCTGAGGCCGGAACTATGTTCGAGCTTGAACATTCCGCGGTTCCAGAAAATATTCACCAAGAAAATACATCAACGTGTATTTCTCATTTTTCTGAGCTTTCAGGTTTGCATGATGACACAAATGGCTTCCCTGAAACTGCTGTTGCAAAATTCTCAAATCCTTCATCAACAAGCAAAATTGAAGCAGGTTCCCCAATGCAAGCCATGATGAGCTGCAATACCAAGTGGTCCCCCAAGGATTTTCTAGAGGGTCAAATATGGGCTGTGTTTGATTCTCGGGACCGGATGCCTAGGTCTTATGTCAGGATTATCCATGTGGTTTCATATACCTCAGTTTTTGTTTTGAAGTTGGAACCTCACCCTATGCTTAATGAAGAGATACAGTGGGTTGAAGATGGTCTACCAGTTGCTTCTGGGGTATTTCGCGCTGGTACTGAAACTACATACAAGGATATCTGGGAATTCTCACACCCTGTAGAGTGTGACTGGAGTGCAAAAAGGTCTTTTTAACTAATTTTCCCCCCAAAAGGGGAAATATGGGCAATGCTAAAAAATTGGAAGATCACCTTGAATAGCACTGACATTGACAAATGTGAACCTCGCATGGTTGAGATCCTCTCAGACTACTCTGATGAAAATGGAGTAAATGTGTGCAGCTTGGCTCGGGTAAAAAGTTACTTTACCTTTTTTCATAGGGTAGTAATGGAAGATTTCCATTTGACAAGGTGGATTCCAAGGTCTGAAATGCTCAGCTTTTCCCATCGTGTTCCTGCTTTTGTGATTGTTGACATCAAAGATCATGATATACCAAAAGGGTCATGTCATTTGGAACCAAGTGCCCTTCCTACAAGGAGGATCATACATTAAAACATGTATAGTAGCAGAAGTAGCCAATAGCCAATTGTAATGAACTAATGACTCCACCCTTCTCTATCGCTCCATTTTAAATTGTTCTACTTGTCTCCATTAATCATCTTGTCCTTACTGTCTCATTTGTGAAGAGTACTGTTTGATCAACTCTTCAAAATTCCCATGTTTTACCAATTGCAGACCAGGTCTGACATGTGTTAAAATTTGGAAATGAGTTCTTTTACCATGAAATAAGGAGAGGCACAATACAAAACGAGAAAGTAATGTAACTTAAACTAAGGTTTACTGTAGCATTGTTTTACTGCTGCCATCGACTGCCAATTGATGCCGCTACAGGCTCCCCGGTAGGGATTATGTGTTGTGTCAGCCGTTCTGTTCTTTTAGTTGCTTCATGATGAGCACTGTATGCAATCACCAACTTCATTGTTGATTAATTTTTGGTGTAATGGAACATTAATGTAAATGATCTCTCTTTATTGGATCTGCCGACACTGCAGTACAGTTGAAGAAAGGAAACACATAATCGTCAACCAATGATGTGTTTCGGTGTTCCTTGTGACAGATTGCCCAAAATATCGTTGTCGCTTGTCACTGCTAGATAATTCTATTGAGATGATTTGTCTTGCCATCAGAATATGATTTTTGCAGACTTTGAAAAAAGAATGGTTATTCTGTAGTCACCCTCTTAAGCTGTTTGAATGTCCATGAAACAAGAGGATGATGTCTTCTGTAGTCACCCTCTTAGGCTGTTTGGAGGTCCATATCAGCACATATCAATCAAGTATAACTGACTTTGTGGATACACTAAATACTCCTTTTTTTTTGGTTATTTGGATATCTTGTAATGCTTGTTAGGTACTTCATTTCTGTACTTACCTTCAGCCCTCCCTATAAATTCATGCACATGTCAGCACTGTGAAATTTACAGTTCCAGTACAAAATTGAATTGTGATAAATTTACTGAATTTCGTTCAATTATTGCATGTTGGATATCATTTTCCTTGGTTCCAGCCTTGTAATTGCCTCATTCAAAGGAAATGTTAGGCAGGAATAAGTAGCGTATTTTGTGGTCCTTTCATATGATGTAGGCAGCTTAAAATAAAATTAGACGATGCCTTGGTATTAATGTACCCTTTTTCAATCTGACTTTTTGGTCTGCACTTGTATCCTATTGTCAAATGTAGTACGCAACTAGTTTCCTGTAACTTCAAATGCTTTTGCTGATTTAACTTACTATTTTCCCTTTTTTTCTCAGACAAGACCTCACCAGCTGATTGCTTGTTGAGCGAGCATAGTCTGTGTTTTTCTTGTGCTCAAGTGCAACTGTTTTTAAGTGTTTTTGCATTCAAATATGAAGTTTTCTGCCTCCCAAGTGGATCTAAGAAACTTAAGAACGACAGAGACAGATAAATTCATGTGAGCAAGAGACTTGAAGCATTCTGTGGTATTCACATGCAACACTGTAGATTATTTCGAATACCATCCAGATGTCAACATCACACCTAAATTATGCAGAGAATCGCATATTACTCTGTAAACTACACGTTGCTAGTAATGCTCGAAGTGGAAGTTATTGTCCTTGCTGATGTTGGAACCTGAAAATGCAATCTTGTGCTTCTGTTAAGGCTTTTATTTATAAAGCCGTCTTTTTTAGCCAACGAATAATATTTTTCTTTAACGACAAATCAGCCAACAGTCAGCCAAGCGAACAGGACATTGGTCAGTAGCTTGCCTATGAAGGGTAGTAGGTGCTAGACTGCTAGGTGGGCAGAGGCATGCCCCCCTTTTTTACATGGAATTTGCAGCATTGTCTGAATTTTCCTTTGGGTACTCTGGACCTTCAACTATTTATGGTGATTTGCTGTGTATGTTTTTAACAATCTAGGTGCTAACAGTTTTCAAAGTTTTTAGGTAGTGTGTCGGTTTGCCCTTAAAAATGGGTGCAAGTACATCAAGAAAATGATAGCTGCTTATCCAATCAGGGTGTATATCTGTCTTGTGTATGACATCAATCAGGGTTCAGTTTTTGTCATCCTTGTTTTTGGAGATTCTAGGCCATTTGTTTTTCAGTTTCTTTTCATGTTTCTTAAATAAAGTTTCTGCTGAATTGCATTGAGCCATGAGTATGGAATTTCATTGGTTTTTCGGTTCTAGCTCCATCGTACTTTCAGTATTGCTGAACACTGAATGCATGCCAGCTATGATCTTCGGTTTTCGCTTTAATTCTGGCCATCTCGGGTTTGGGAGATTGATGGTTCTTCTTTGCCTACCATTTAAAGAACAATAGCTTGGTGTCTCTTATCCTGGCCTTTTGTTGTAAGTTTGAAGGATAATATATGCTAATCATTTCGTGCTAACAGAACAGTAAAGATACCTAAAGATACTAGAGAAAATATATAGCAGAAACTACATACTATTTACGTGTACCTAAACAGCACTTCGATCCTCCTTTTTATATCACTGCAACTGTTGTTGCTCTGTTCCTTTATTTTTCAATATCAACTCTACCTAGTACATCTTAAAACCATCACGCTATAAGGTGGCAAGAACTGGAACCTTTTTCTCCCCGCGCGCGCGTGTGTGCTGGTGAAATATGCATAGCTGCAGGAGGATTTCCTTGCAGAAACTTTTAAAGATCCTAAAATTTGTAGCATATGGATCCTGGAGAGATCCTGACTGTATTTTGTTGTTCCAATGTCACATTTCACCATCCATGGCGACCATTTTAGACTTTGTAGGCCTTTCTATTTTTTTACTTTTGGCACTGCAAGTAACCTCTCTGATGTGGTGATTTCTTAATCTGTTACTGTAACAGTGAAAACAAAGAAGACAGAGGAATCCAATACAAGGTGGGCCCACCTTCAGTTGGAAATTGGCACTTGCCTCCAAGACAACTGACATCATATATACGTATAATCCTAGTCATCCAATGAAACTATGAAAGTGAATGACCATGACACATTGGGATGGACCGGGTGGGTCTTTGGAAAAGGAGATCCATCAGCAAATAAGCATGATTGCTGGAGTTCACCTTCCATTCATCCTACACCTAATTTCATTCACAAGTGATTAAAATAATCCGCCCTTCTCAGTGGGTGGTCTCGGCAAGTAACTGTTGTGACATGACATCCTTTCTCTCTCTGTCTAGAATAGCTAGTATAAAAAGGAGAAGCCTTGGGTGCTGTCGTTGGACAGGAAAGGCGGAGCTCAAGCCTCAAGAAGAGCCCACGCCACACCGCCATGGACATGGAGCTGGAGCACGGAGGGGATGAAAACGACATGGGGAGTGAGTCGTCCTCCTCCAAGAGGAGCTTCGGCGCTTCGTCGGACGCAACCGTCAGCAGCACACCAAGCAAGCTGCAAGCTCTGAGGTTTGCAGAGGACCTCTCTCTCCCATCGGTACGCTCTCTCCCTCTCTCTCTGTCTCTCATCATTGTCAGCTAGCTGATCAGTACCCAGAAATGAAAAATCTGCAATGGCTTTCATGTCGTTGGGTTCTTGAAATCCAGCTTAGATTATTATTACTCTGCTGAAACTAGAGCCATTCTTTCTGCCGAAGAATTCTGTTCTTCTTCCTTCGTTGAGGATGCTAGCCTTTGCCGTTCCAGAAACCATTAGCCCTGTCCATCACTACATGTTTCTCAATGGAGCCTATCAGTTCAGGCTTCAGTGGTAGTAACAGACTAACAGTAAAGTCACTACATCCTTCACTGCATTCCGACAGTCTCCAGCTCCACACATTCAGTGTCCGTTGTCCCACTGTTTCTTCTCTGCTCATCGAGGGAGAAGAGATGTGGTTATCTCCTTGGATTCTCAAGAGGCCCCCTGTTGCAATCGCTTTTGCCTTCCAGTCTGGCTTTTAGCGTAAAGGTGAAAGGCCCCGCCCCTGTTACTGTTAGTGCCAATCCGCCAAACAACTCCACTGCAGGGAGCAGTTTACTTCCCTGTCTGTCTGTCTCTCTTTCTATCTCTTAACCTGCCCTGCCCTGCCTGGAAATAAGACGGAAGTGATCTGATCAGCCTGGAGATCAGAATCTGTGAACTACTACACATTACTGTTGTTGTTCACATGGAAATCGATTGAGAGAGTAGCACGCAGTAACTTGTTAGCAAGACTGAATCTGGTAGCAGACACCGGGCACGCATGCAGCAACTGTAGCCTGTTTCTTGCGCCGGTCTATGCTCTGCGATGTTATTGGTGCCGCTTGTTTCTTGTGCCGGTCTCGGCCACAGCTGAGCTGTCGGCTGTTGGCCGTTGCTGGGAGCTCGAGCTGCCTGTCTTGCCACGACGATGGTGAAGCCGTCACCGATTTCGGTGTCTCCTTCTCTTCTCTCGCAGTGTTTTTGACTTCTGACCATAAGCAGTAGACAAGGCTAAGGCATGAGCAGACATCACGTGCCAAGCATGAGCAGGCAAGAACTGTAGCCGCCTTGCCTGATGAATACCATCTTATTCCTACCGTTGAAGATTACTACTAGCAGTAGTAGGAGTATTAGCCTTTGCTTTGACCGGCAAGTTTCTGTCTCTTTTTTCAAAACAAAAAAGAAATAAGAAATGAATTTAGGTGACAGTGCAGGAATGTTTGCATCCTATTCGTGGAGCTAGGTTGCTTCAGAGTCATTTTCTCCGGGGTAGGCTATCTATCCGTCCGTATTCCTGCGTGTTTATGCCGTCAAATCCAAGGCATGTGCTACGCAACACGTACACGTACGCTTCCTTTGACCTGATATGTACACGCGCATGCATGTGGAATTAATAAATTTAGGGGGTGTTTAGATTGGGCCGCTAAAGTTTAGCTGGTTAATTTTAGTCTCATTTAGTCACTTTTTTCCTAAATACTATGACTAAATAGGACTAAAATGGTATTTAGCCAATTAGTCACCAATGTGTTGCTAAACGGGACTAAAGCCCGGACTGCCTCACCTTTTAGTCACTTTGGATCTAAACACCCTGACTAAAAGGGACTAAAGTGCTCTTTTAGTCCACCAAACTAAACAGGTATGGCTAAAGTTTAGCAACTGGTTTAGCTGTTTAAATTTTAGCAGCTTCAATCTACACGGGGCCTAAGTAAACCATCCCCTTCACTCGTTAATCCATTCTCTTATCCCATTTGATTTTGACCAATGCATGCAAGTATACACACATGCGTGCTCCCATTTGATTCAGTGTCCAGCATTTCACCATCAGTTATAGCTCTGACCGAACATTATCTATATTTAATGAGTTTAATTTCCAGCATCTGCACAAGTTTCTTACGTCTAGACAAAGGGAATTTCGATAACAGATACTACAATGATTCGCTGATCGCTATCAGGATGGATGGGTTTGTAGACTATAGTGATAGATTACACTGTAGAATGAACAAAAGAGCGTCAGCGATACTGACGCTTTCCACATCCTGCTTCTTCTTCTGAAGATTCTTTAGAGAGACGTTGTTGTGTACATGCATTACTGACATGCGTCATGGCCCTGCTACTTACATTACATCTATCCTCGCAGTAATTTTTATCCCGACAACAAGGGATGATGGCCACATGCATTTGCTCTGCATGGTATCTGAAAAAGTCTTGGCCTGATCACTATAGACCAACAAGGAAGATCACAACGGTAGGCATGCGACTAGTCCAGACGACCCAGCCCAGGCCACACTGCACGTGATACAGTATTCATACTATAATGCAAGTGGCTTGCATAGCCAATAGATTAGCATATACTATATGTTAGTGATATTGTTATGATATGATGTGCCGTGGAGGCACAGAGACAGGGAGATATAATAATAGTAATACCACTGCTGGCTGCCTGACAGGACTATAGGAGTAGTACAATCTGCATTAGGGTTCAAGAGTGGCGGCCATGTGACTTTTGGTATTTGAGAGAGGAACATATATGTACCCTATATGGCTATATCATAGTTCTCTTCCCCTGTGGTACGTATATTCCTCACAAATAGTTTATAAATGTACAATGAACTCTAGCCGTACGTCCTGATTAGTGGAAGGTGGAATAATGGTTAGGTGTGATGGACGCATAGGTAGCTAGTTAATTAACTAGCTTTTAATTAGGATATAAGTCTGTGACCACTTAACCGTTCATGATTAATGTCAACAGCTAAGGCGAGGCTATCTATCTAACCCAACTTGCATTTTGGCCAAACAAGCATCGATCTGATCGATTCATACGTGCCGTGCTATCGCTGAACGGATCGGTGGTTGGATAGCGAGCTGGTACATACTCCATACCTTATACCTTGGGTGCCGTTTTGGCGGGGAAACAACACGAAGGATCCCTGCCAAGTGCCAAATGCACCCTTATTCATTACGTAGAAGCAATGCAAATGCAGATGATGCATGATGAGTTGTATATATATGGTGGTGATGGATGCCAATAATGATGTTTATGGAGAGTGAGTGTGTTGATGTAGAGATGAAACTGATAAAGAGAAATTGCTGGAATAATAATGCGCAGGTGCAGGTGGTGGTGATGAGCGCCAACATGGGGTGCTCGCACTGCCGGCAGCGGGTCGCCAACGTCGTCTCCAAGATGAACGGTGAGCATCCACATTCAGAGATGCCATGTACTCATGTCAGTTAATTCGCATAAGTACATATGGACCATCACCACCAATTACCTGTCATTAGGAGTTTAGGACGCATCATGTGATGTCCGTAATGCGTTTACCTTTACTAGCAGTGCTAACTAATGCATCGTTCTTCCTTCTTACGCATCCATCTTGGCCTACTGGCCATTGTACGTACGTACTGCTGCCTGCTCATCCGCATAGCTCATGTCTGTGCTTGTGTTGTGTCCATTCCATTAGCAGGGCTGCTGGACTACATGGTGGACTTCGGGAAGAAGGAGGTGACGGTGCGCGGGAAGGTGGTGCACACCAAGAAGAAGAAGAAGAAGCACAGGAAGGCACTGCTGGGTGCTGCAGCAGGCTGGAACGACGCCACATCGGCGGCGGCGTCTTCGCCCGGCGGCGGCCATGCCAGGACGCTGTCCTGGTTTTTGGGATGCTACGGCTCATGACCACCATAGCTAGTATAGTACTATAGTCTATATATATACCGCATATATAGAGTATGATACTGCTGTATGTGCTTGTTATATTTATACATAACTAGTAGCAGCTGCATATATAGTTTGTAATAGTCTGTTAGTGGTAATCTATTTCTTATTCCAGTCCGTTTATTTCCATTTCTTTCATTGCTTTTTTTTTCCATTCTGAATAATGTAGCATGCATGTATGCAGCAAGCAAGCAGCCATATGTATATGTATATGTATATGTGTATATGCCACGCAAGTGCCCGTGCTCCACGATCCCCGTGTTTTCTTCCTTCACGCATCCATTCAGCAGAGCATATGTGTTCATTCAGGTTCAGGGAGGATCATGCATTCTGCTTCCACGCTGTATCGATAGGACGATAGCTATCGTCTCACCTACTGCATGCACTGGCCGAACAAGACCACCTCGCGTCGCGGTCTGCTGAACTAAACACTAGCGGCAGCCGGCAGCCCCCCCATCCAGCACGCGCGGCGAAATAACCGGATCCGTGCAGTGCTGGGGACACTCCGGAGCACCGCACCGGGCTCCGGTGTGACGCCTCAGATCGAGAAATCCCATGCCATGCACCTGTGTCGCGGCTGCAGTGACAGACAAGGCGAGAAGAACAGAGCAAGAGTTAGCTGACTGCCTGCCTGGTCGGCTCCTGCGTCGTCGCGGCGTCGCCTGAATATTCTTCCTTCACGTGCGCTGCTTATGAAGCTGTAGCCACTTGTCTGATGAGCGAGCAGAGCAGAGGCAGGGCAGCAGCGTCTGAAATTCTGAACTGGAAAGCCTCAAGCTGACTAGCTGAGTGAGAGAGCTGTGCAGTGCTCACACCTGGCCTGGCCTCACTGTGAACCCGGCATCATAGTCACAGTCAGGAACATGAACACTGGCACAGTCACAGTCAGTACTACTCAGTAGCATGATCCCACAGCCACAGGGAAGGGCTTGTTGAACATTTGAGTTGCAGCACATGTACATGACCCCTCAAACTAAAAAAGGAGCAAAAAAGCTAGTGAATTACGGATGAACAGAGCAGGGCTAGATTCAGATTCAGTCGGTAAAAGCACGGACCAAGAACCGATCGCTAATCATAGCAGGGAGAGGGCTAGGGGAGTGAGAGACCAAGAACCGATCGCTGCGGCGAGGTGCCTTTTCATAAAGACAGAAAAGCTCAACGCACGAACTAGCAAAAGCGAGAGCGATCCACTTTTAAAAAAAAAGACGAGAGTGATCCAGCCATCCAGACCGGCTCCAAATCCTGGACCTGGAGCCACGCCACGGCCCACGGCACAACGTTTCAGACTTTTGAGCAAGACAAGACAGCAGCATGTTCATCATAGTAGTAGATAGATTCAGATGAGACAGTAGGGCAGGTGGGTAGAGATCTCATTATTTCAGTAGGATTCAAGAGTTTCCAGTTCCCCGTTTCACAGCTGCTATACTTCATTGTGTATATATATCGTCCTTGTTTCATGTGCACTGCTATCTGAAATTCTGAATGCATTTATGCATGCACGTCTTGTATTTGTCACTCTTCATTCAGTCCACGGCGAAGGCAACCGAAGCATCCCATGCAGCTCCGTCGTCGACCCGGACCCTCAGAGCTTATCGGCGATCCTGCACACGGCGTCGGCGACCCTGTCCATGGCGCGGAGGAGAGCCGCCCGCTGCTCCCTGTCGGCGTCCCACCTGCTCCTGTGCGCCTCCAGCTGCTGTTCCAGCGCCCGGTTGCCCCTCTCCAGGGCCTCGATCACCTGCTTCCCAATGCTGGCCGTCGCCGTCGCCGTCGCCGCCGGCGTGGCCGTGGCCGTGCCCTCTGCCTGATCCGCCACGAACGTCGCGTCGCTGTCCTGAAGCCGCCGCCGTCGTGCTGCGACGACGTCGAGTTCTTGTCCGACGCCGCCGCGCCCGCCTTCTTCTGATCGCTCTCTGTCACTGCCATGGCCACACGCGAAACAGCTTATCGTGCAGTTCATTGCAACTACGATTAATTTCAACGAACTACAGCTATTTGCGATGTCATAAAACTATACAATCTATGTTGACCATTTCACAAACCTCCAACAAATTTTAACCATAGTAACAAATGCATACGAATTTCAATAAAAAAAACATTTTGTAATTTGGATCGCCTGAATACTATCTTTTTTTAGTTAATCTCACAAAAATATAAAGATTTTGTACATTTTCAAACTAGAATTCATATCGACCATTTCACAAACCTACAATAATTTTGACCCGTCTAACAAATACCTACAAATTTCAGGAGCTAAAAAAGGTTGTGGATCCCACTTGTCATGCAAATATGAAAAGAGTCCACGCCTATTTGGATGACATGTTGACCCCCGGTAGCCGGGTCTGATAAAAGTTGTAGTTACTTTCTTTTTCATAAAATAAAAATCACGTGATATAATGGCATAATGCATGTATGTAACATTGATGAAAATATTCGGCGCACCTGGACCAGAGCATTCGTGTTCAGAAGAGGCAGGAGGGGGCTCGTACTTCCTCACTGCATGCAAAACAAACCAAACATGTGATGCCATCCATGTCACGTGCACATACATGCCAGTACGAGTGCTGACCTGATATGGGCATGACCATGATGGGCGGCTGCCGGTACACCCCTTCCAGCTCCCCGTCGCCGAAGTCCGGCGGCATCACGACCGCGGCCGCGTCCTCGCCGTCTCCGGCGGACGCGCCGCAGACGAGCGCGTCGTACACCTCGCGGTCGAAGGACGACGGCAGCTGCCTGGCGCGCCGCTGGTCACCGCGCATGTCCCAGAACGACTCGTGCTGCGCGTCGCCGGCGCCGGCGCCAGCTATGGCCTTCCCTTCCCACGCGACGATCTTCTTGAGGTCCCAGGACAGGTTGCCCCACCGCTTCCGGCACTGCATGGGCCCGCGCTCCACGCCGTGGCGCCAGCAGTAGGCCGACACCGCCGCCCACTTGGGCCGCGGCCGCACCGCCGGCAGCTGCAGGCCGCGCCGCTCCATGGCGCGCCTCGCCTGGATCAGGACTAGCGTCTCGTGCCGCGTCCACCGCGGCAGCCGCGACCGTGGCGTGGACGCGGCGGCGGCGGCTGCAGCTGCAGCGGCAGCGGCCTCCACCGGCGGTGAGTTCTCGTTGGCAGACATCGTGCGCCGCGCTATGACTATGAGGCCTCTCGCCAAGACGTCAGCCCCGGCTGGGATTTATCAGCCTTTGAATCGACGTCAAAGCTTGCGGTTTTCAGCAGTGAGCATAATTTTACAAGAATTGAATGTGGTACAGCAAATGCAGTCTGGCTTAGTGGTATTACATATCCATCAGATCAGACAATTAGCAAGCAGTTTTTAATTGCTGCCAATTAGCAACGAGTAACAATTAGTAAGGATTAAAACCAGAGATCAAATGAAATCTCACAGCTAACATCCTGGGAGATATGCAAATTACTAAATTAGTGTCATGATCAAATCATATGAATGAAAGCATGACATATTAACAATTTGACATACACCAGCAGCAACACCAACACCCGAAGCCTTACTAGCTATTGACAGTACTGAGACATGGAAAATTCAAATTCAAGTCACTAGAGACCACAAGACATCCAAGATACCATTGAATCAGTTGTAGTACCTATTTCAACAGGAGAAAATGCTACATGAATCGACAACATTGTATTTGTCGCTATTTGATAATTCAGTTGCCATCAAAATTTGAAAATGGCATCTGAGTAGTCCATGTATCCATTGATTAAAACACACACACGACGGCACATGACAGAAAAAACACAGATCCAAGCCATTGAGGAAACAAGTAATCTATATATATTTATCTAGAGGTTAACTGTTCTAGGACCAGATGTCCAGAGATATCAGTTAAAATTGGTTGGCTGCAAAATATGCTACCATGACCAGCATGTCCTCTAATGCTCACAAAATAAGAATGCTCTAAAAGGAGATTAAGTTGCTCCTCTTTTGCTATATATCAGAGCATGTCAACTACATAGATACCATGACTGCTTCCCTACAATATAAGTTGTTTCCTCCAAAATCCAAATAGAAACACACTGCAGGTCTAGTAGAGGCGCTTCCGGCAATCAGGAGCACCACAGTGGCAAGGCAGCTTCACAATTTTTCCATCAGGCCCAACAACACTGTCCAAGCGATAACCATAGTCATAGGATAGCTCCTGAAAAGCACATGGTAATCAGAAATTTTATTTTGGTAGAGTCTACTGTTTGGTTGAGAGAACTCAAACACTTCTCACCTGAAGAGGAAGTATAGTGTCAGCAGCAAAAAGCGTCACTTTTGCCAGTTTAACATCATTGTGTGAGCTCAAAACGCACTGGACGAAAAGGTTAGGTTGGCAGCTGTGATTTATAAATCTGGCAAAATTGCCAATAGAACTAGCGTCTATGCAGTACTCAGGTGCAGGAGGTGCATCTGAATCATTCTCAGGATGAAGATTAGGCAGGTGCATTTCAGATCCAGCTCTTTTCTGCAGGACAGAGTACATAGCATGAGTGCTCAGCATCTGATGAAATTTCAGCACACCTAAAATAATTATTACAGAAAGGACTAGTGATATAGGAGTAGAATTTGGCAATATTTCATGTTACAGTAAATGAGAAAACTATTACCTCCCTTCCATCCAAACCCTTCATGGTTTGAAGACAGTCGATGTCAAAACAATAGTTGTTTTGTGAACCATCCAAATCTTCGGTCCTCCTCAACACCCCCGTGTACTCACAGATGGGAGCCCCAGGGAGGATAGTGTCCCAAGTCCTGACTCCCCAACCTTTTGAAGCTGTCTTAAATACCTGCAAAATTCAGCCTGTTAAGCAAAATATAGCTAGATACAAATGCTAGTAAGAGCTGTCACTCCCAACGGAAGAATTGTGAAAGGGGCCAAACTGTGGAAGCACAAGAAAGAATGTGTTTTCTTAATGAAACAAAACACAGCTCTCCTACGTTTTTGATAGGGGAAAAGTATAAAATAGATATCCTAGGAAGTATCAGAACACAAGACTCTTGGAAAGAGAAATACCAACCTCTAAGCGATACTGCAAACCCTGTTGAGATGTTCTGTTTACACAATCATGGTTGCAACTGCAGTTAGCCCCACATTCAAATACAACTGCTTTGGGCTCCACCAACCTATAGAATTAGAGGCAAAAAAATTAAAAAAACAATAGTTGCAAAATCCATCCAAGTATTGAACCATTTAAACATTGTGATTACCTGCCAATGTTCTTATATGATACATAAGGCAGATCAGAACCATTGCGCTGAGCACATGAACAATTTTTGTTGGTAGCACAATCTCCTTCACAATCACAGCCAATAATACTAGATGGAATCTTGATGTCCTTTGGAATTTTTAGAGACTTCAAGTATGTGAAACCTAAAGTGTTGCCAAAGGTGACACTAAGCAATCAGCCACTGATGATTAGTGTATAAATTGAAACAGGAACAGGAATAGAAGAAAGCAGATCTGCTAGAAGCGACACGATAAATTCTCATAAAACAAGAAACGTTTGGCACTGAATTTGGGCAGCTTAGTTACTATTATGTTTTAAAAGTTTCAAAGAGCACTTCATTGTATTATCTTGTTTGTTGGTACAACTTCCAAATATTCTTGTTGGGCACCTTGGCTAACTGTTGTTTGTAAACCGATCTGCAAACGGAAGTATTGTTATGTTCTACTCCCAACAGTTACAGAATAAGATATGTTTTGGACATAGACATGATCATCAAAATACAACTTTGACTACTGACTTTTGTTGTAATTAAATTTATAAAACATAGCAAAAGTATAGTGTTATGAAACTACATTTTGATACAATCTATCTGTATCGTTTTCAGAATATCCAAACTCAATATATAATGGTCGACACCAACTCAAAATGTCACTTATTTGAAACTCGCAGAAAAATCAGTGGAAAAAATGTGGAAGGAGGAAGAGCCATTGGATAGTACAAGTTCCAAAAATCTGATTTGCGATATAAACTGCTATAGTGCTATTTGATGTATTCTAGGATGTAGCTTGTTCAAAATTTAAAAGTCACACTACACACATTTGCTCTAGTTTATTGGAACAATGCAAACAGCCCTGCAACAAAGAAAATATGAAATAGACAATTGATAAATTTGAACATACCAGATGGAGGAACAGGTGGATCATCAACCAAGTTAGTAGCAGGAATTGGAATATTTTCTTGCCCTCCAGAGATGTCGTCACAAACCAGTCTATCAAATTAAACATGACATATGATTAAGTTTCATTCAAGGAAACATAACCTCTGTATCACTAAGACTAAGGTGATAAAAGAATACATGCATGGATGTTAGCATAGCACAGTCGTGAAATGACCACAACCACATATGTGATATATGACAAATCTTTAAAGATATATTTAGTTATTAAGATTTCTATATGGTACAGATCCTTCTTTATCTCTAGTAGATTGGCATGTTTATACAGATACTTGAACTAAAAACTACTACTGTTTCAAAATGCAGGTCGGTTTAGTTTTGGTCTAAGTTAAATCTCTCTAACTTTACCAAGTTTATATAAAATAGTATTAAGATCTACAATACCAAATAAATAAATTATCAAGACGTAATTCATAGTGGATTTAATGAAACAAATTTAATGTTTACATTATGCATTTTTCTCTAAACTTGGTCAAAGATAGAGAAGTTTGATTTAGGACAAAACTAAAATGACTTGCATTTTGGAACTAAGGGAGAATACATACTCGCACTCCAGGCTAAGGCAATACAACCAACAATAGTCTTTCAATATTGTATCCTCCATGTTTAAGCACACATATAATCAATACGAGCTACTTTATTTTAGAACACATAACTTATCGTAAAAAAAATGAAATCATGAATGGTAAAATAGAAACTTCGATTCCGCACGCACAAAAAATGAAACTTCAGGTGTTTGGATCATTTACCCAGGCAATTCAGAAATAGTTGTGGGAGCTTCTGCACGAGTAAATCGCACCTGGACACACAGATATGTGATGACACAAACACATGATATTTCCAGTATATACAAAAATGCAAAGTTAAATTTATTCAAGGGAATATAGATTCCATTTAAAAGGTCAACTGGTCAAGCACAACGGTGGCTGTATTATTAGTATATTATCGCAATTCAAAAGCATATTTCAGTTACAGAAAAGACGACACAAACATATTTCTGAAAGGAAAACTGCACTGGAACTAGCAAATGTGTGATTGAATTAGCAAATCTGAGAAGTCTCATGTTATTTCCACATTTCTTCTCTACCAGTTGACACGATATAGTATAAAATAAGTGAAGGCCACCCATCCAAACTATAACAAGACAGTGGGTAATATCAGCACAACCAACTCAGTTTGCTGTCTCTGTTCAGGTATACCTCAGAAGTCGTCAATGATGGCTGACCCTCAAGCCGCTTCAATTTAAATTTGAAAACCACATGGCCTTGCACTCCGTTCTGTACCCAGTCATCTACAACCTACAGATTATCCACATGAAATAGCAAAAATAGAATTGGTCAGATAATGCAATAGAACTAGATACTAGCAAATCTATTTCTGGTGTGTATGCATCTCCATGGGATTGCAGGTTAAAAAGCCCAAGCTCCAATAACAAGACGAGAACATCTGGTCTACATTATTCATAAGAGAATTCGGAAAACATAAAGACCTTGTAAAGTCCATCGTAGGTGTAGATCTTTCCCGTATAGCTATTTTTTGACAAATGACCTCGAATAACTCGGATAGGATTACCATTGTCCCTGCTATTCTGCAACAGTAAAATAAAATGAGATCAATAAAATGAGCTTAATTTATATATAAGCTAGAGACCGATTCATTTGAAAGTGTACAGCAAAACATTTGTGATCGATAAGAGAGAAAAAACTCAACCCGTCGGATAAAGGCCCCGAAAGCTGGCTGCCCAGGACACGCCTGCAGCACGTATATCTCTGTAGACAGTTACCTATCGATGGACGTTTTTTCCATGCAATCCAGGATTTGAACCCTGGCCGGCAGCCTCCCAACCAGAGGACCTACCACCGCGCTCAACCAAGATGTTGAGTATATAAATTAACTCGGGCACTGAAATGTTAAATATGTCAGACATGCCATGGGTCATGGCTTGAACAACTGGAAAACCAGTCTTAGCCTACATTAGGCCTTACGCAACATAAGCGTATGAAGTGTCTTGGTGTTTAGTTGTTCTGCAGTCTGCACAGACAAGACACATTTGATAAAACTATATTTGGTTGTTTAAATTTTGTTGCATGTAGTCACCTCCATGTTCTAGTTGAGTAAAGGTATGAAGGATGAGAATATTTCATTTTTGTATGCACATCAGCTTGTGCAGCCCTGCATTGTCTAATATGAAAAAATCTGGCGTACTAGCCAATGCAGCATTAGGCTTGCTTTGAGCACTCACGAGCAAACTGCACTGCACAAGTCTGGATATAGGGTAATACAGGCAACCAATCAGACCCATAGGGTCCAATGAAGACTAGGCCTACCCTGCACACCTACTAAACCACACTCATAACAAACCCACTTACACTTTTGTCCGTGTTTCACGTAGAAGGGTTAATTTGGGGCTAGTGCTATTGGATTTTGGACCAGCTAGGCTTATATGTTGGTGTTTCTCACCCTATGCAAGCAAGATGGGACTAAACACCCTACTTATCATACACATGTGCACATGATCCACCATGGGACAAATCAAGTCAAAGTGGTATGTCACATTACAACACATTTTATAGAAGAACTATAATATTCCCTCTGTTCCAACTTCTAGTTCACTTTTGGTTGCCCTAAATCAAACTTCTTTAACATAACCGAGTTTTTAGAAAAATATATAGACATCTACAAGTTGAAACAAAATCTCTATTAAAATTTATTTTGTGAAGAGTTTGATTGAACAAACTTGATCATTTGATGTTCTAGATGTTTGTGTACTTTTTATAAACTGTCAAAGTTGAGGAAGTTTAACTTAGGACAAAGCCAAAATTAATTATAACTTGGAATGAAGCATAACCACAAAAAGTGGAACACAGTACATTACATGCAATTGATATAACCAATGTTTTCTGATCGTCCGATTAATCGCGATTAATCGTCCTTATTGGTACTTAGCACTTGATTAGGCCCTCCGATTTGATCGAGAGCGATCGAAACTGATCGTCGATTAATCGTCGATTACTCGCGATTAATCGTCCGATTAGGTCTCTTTGCCGATCAAGACTAAATAGTCGATGGACTACTTGAGTTCTTCAAGCTATATTTATTTGGGCCAGGCCCATTAGGGTTTCTCTTATATACCTCACCCCCACTCTCTCTCCTCATTCCTCAAGACTCTCACACTCCCGCCGTGTGCGCAGTAAGCTCCATCTCTTCCTCACTGCGTGCATCTCACTCCCTCCTCCTCCTTCCGGTTCCAATCCAAGCAGCCCATCCGTGGATCTTCCCTGCTGCTTGCTGCTTCCTCCTCCCTTTTGTTGCAGGGTCCATTGGGCAGTATGAACCTGGGTACCGCTCACCAACCATGCATGACATAAGGGAACCATTGCTTGAAAGGACTGTCAACAGGACAGCAGAACTAAGAAAGAAGCATGAGGAGAGTTGGAAAGAATATGGCTGCACTCTCATGTCCGATGGTTGGACGGATACAAGCCACCGCCATATAATCAATTTTCTTGCCAACAGTCCAGCAGGGACCTTCTTCCTAGGTTCAGTGGATGCTTCAAGTGAGATAGCAAATGCACAAATGCTAGCTGATTTGTTGGAGCAGCAAGTTGACAAGATTGGGAAGGAATATGTGGTGCAGGTTGTCATAGACAATGGGGCAAACTTTAAGGCAGCGGGAAGGATTCTAATGGAGAGGATCCCACATTTGTTTTGGACACCTTGTGCTGCCCATTGTCTGAATTTGTTGCTGCAAGACATTGGTGAGATAAAGGAATTCAACACTGCCATCAATTGGGGCAAGAAAGTGTGCAGATTTCTATACAAGCATGGGAGGATACTTGATCTAATGAGACAGAAGATAGGTGGAGATCTTGTGAGACCAGCTGTGACTCGATTTGCTACTTCTTACCTAACATTGGCAAGTATGTACAAGCACAAGAATGGCTTGAGAGCTTTAGTTGTTAGTGAAGAATGGCAGGCTAACAGTCTGTCTAACACTAGTGAAGGCAAACAAGTTGAGGATATTGTCCTTTCCATGCCTTTTTGGAATAGAGTGGAGTGTTGCTTGAGAGCTTCACAGCCCCTTCTCGTCGCTCTAAGGATTGCGAGATGGGGATGAGACACTAGTAGCTCCACGAGATCATGGCAGCCATGGATCATGCAAAGACCACCATCAAAGATTCTTTAAAAGCTAAAACCGACTTGCTTAAAGAAGTAATGAAGCGCTATGATAATAGGTGGGAAAACCAAATGCAACGAAAGTTGTATGGGCAGCCCTATTCTTGAATCCAGCAAGTTCTTTGCCTTAAGGGAGAAAGACAAGAGAAAAGCTGCAAGGCTAAGGATCATGTTCAATGAAATTTTATACAAAATTGTGGCGGATGACGATGAACAATCCAAGATTTCTCGTCAAAGTCGATGATTATGAACGATCAAGGTGAAGGCTTCTCAATGCCATTAGCAATAAGGGACAGAGACAAAAAGAACCCTAGTAAGTTTTGAATATTTTAAAACCTTCAATCCTTCTCAATATTTGCTTTGTTATGACCTGATTATTAGGTAATTGTGTTTCAGTCATTGGTGGAATTCCTATGGTGGCTACTCATTTGAGCTCCAAAGTCTAGCAAAGAAAATTATTAGTCTTTGCTTTTCTGCATCAGGTTGTGGCGTAATTGGAGTGTTTTTTTCCATGTAAGTACCACTTCGCTAGTTCAAGTAAAATCAATTATGTATCTCATGATATTGCTTGCAAACCAATGTGTTGTTCATTATTTTTTATGCAGTCCCACACCAAAAGAGGAACAAATTAGAGCACAAGAGGTTCAATAAATTGGTCTATGTCGGTTACAACAAAAAGATGTCAAACAGGTTTCAAAAAATCAGAGAGCTTGGTTGCAAAGGACAGAAGAGCAACCCTCTCACGCTAGATGAATTTCAATGGGATAATGAATGTGTGGATGAAAATTGTGAGGAATCGACTTGGGCTCTCATTGATGAAGCTATTGGTGCATCCGAGAATCTCTGAGGCCACAACTTGCCTAGGGTCGCTGCTGCTTTGCTCGTCAAAGCAATGACCTCTGTCGACAGATGTATACCGAGAAGCGTCCAAGGATCTGCTGCAATTGCAAACGCCGCTGCTCCAGATAGCATTGATGATGAAGATGATGACCATGAAGCACAAGTTCACCAGATGCATCTAATGTCAAGTAGGAATGGAGGTGGATGGAGACTCGGGGTGGAGATGGAGGAGGAGGCTTCAATTTGGATGATGATTTGCTTATTTAGATTTAGATGGTCATTGAATCTTTGATTGAATGGCAGCTAGTGTTATCTTAAAACTATGAATGTTGTTTGCGGTGTTTAATTATTTAGTTTGTAGTATGTACTCGATTACTAGTACTATATTAAGTAAGTCATGGACTATGCTAGTTTTCTTAATTCCTACTTTTACGGATCTGGATTGAGTATGTCTTTATTGTAATCTTTGTCGATCTGTCACACTATTCTTTTGCATCTACTTACTCAAGTTATCTATTATTTCTGCAGAAAATCAAAGCAAACATATGGAGGTTTGGGACAAGAATATGGAGTCGAGATCTCATAGGTAAGTAACTAACTAACTAGAAATATGTTCGATGTCTACTATATAAATATATAGTATATGGTATATTATATATATACCATACATATATGATATATACTTATATAGTCCTGTTATATCTTTCGGACGGTTATATGGACGATTAGACCGATCGAGGTCGACTAATCGTCTCGATAAATCTCTAATCGGTACCGCATCGATTAGGAACGATAAGCCGTCGAAAAACATTGGATATAACTAAGTAATAAATAAGAACCATTGAAACCAACCTTCAATGCTAAATTCCCGTTTCAATCACGAGAGCCAATTTGGCGATGGTTACCAAGTAAATCGTTTCCTCCTTGACCCGTATAAATAATTTCATCGGCTTTGTCTAGATCATCTTCATATATCCCCGACATTACAATACAGTGTGGCTAGTGGAAAAGTTAACTTCTCATACTCATTCGCATAATTAAATTCAAAATTATTAGTTCTGACACATGATCACTCCCTTTAGGAGCCATTTACGGTTTGTTTTAGAAGCTTGAAATGGAATAGCCAATAAATTGCTCAACATTTAGAAAAATACAAAGAAACAACTACAAGATGTTGCGACAAGGAATTATCCATGAGGACATTGACATAGTCTCCAATATGACACTTTGACACACAAATCTATAAAAATATATTATCTTAAATAATGCAGATCTTGCCAATGATATGAAAATATAAAGAGATCTATATAACATGATCTATCTTTCATAATGAATCTTTGTTTTTCTCAAACGACGCAAGAGATCTTTGTGTCATTTAATTAAGTAGAAAAAAACAAATGAGTGGCAGAGCCAACACCCCTAGGCCACCTAGTACAACGCTAACAGCATCACACGCTGGAAACAAAAACACGACAAAAAAAACCATCAGGATTCTAAGCAGCCAATGGCAACAACCTACATAGGATCTATGTAAAGCCTTAGCACCAACCCAGCACCACAGATTACACTCCTCATGAACTACAAGCAGAACCTTTTGAAAGCAAGGACTACCACCCTCAGAGACACAGTGGTCCCTATGTTTCCAAATCTCCCAAGCAACTAAGATTATGAGCGAATAAACCCCTTTCTTTATCTCCTTAGGAACTGCCTTGATTTTCTTGCTCCACCAGCTACTGCAAAAAAAGGAAGCAACCCCAACACAGAAAAAAAAAATAGCTGTCAAAACCTGCCTTGCAAACACAAAGCAATCAGGGTATGCTGTATCGTTTCATGGGCCTGATCACACAAGGGACAAACTGCAGGGTGGGAAGCCCCCAACTTGCAAGGCGGTCAGCAGTCTAGCAACGGTTCTTGATTCATAATGAATCTAGTATACGACTAAAATTCAGATATTGATAGTCAAAAGGTAAAAAAAAGTTTGACTAAAGATACACCTAGATGGACTTATATATCTGATCGGAAGGGGTAACTTGGGAGTGCTGAAAGGGAAATGCTAATATTGAATAATTACATACAGCGATAAAAGCATGTTGGATCAAGGTGTGATTCCCCTATCAAATGAACAAAAGAGATGTTCTATGGCATGTTCAGAATGAAGTAAACTTGCAAATTTCCTGATCCAAAACCTTCCCGTCTATTTTTTTCTTGAAAAACGTCTCTTTACTTCTACAGAAATGTCTGCTGCTGTTACCTTTGCTTGGTATTTCATCCCCATGTAGTCAATGCCATTGAGCCAATGGCTGTGGATGCCCAACACTACCATTTCAGCACGAGAATAAAACTGATCTCCGACATCGATCCCTGAGAAGGATTGGATAAGACCATCACTTTACACATCCATATAGAAAATGGAAATATATGTATATGTATATATATATATATATATATAACTAAATTCATGCGCCTCAAACTTCACAATACAAATTTTTCCTTGGAGAGAAGTAAAAGATTAACCTGGTAGATGCCCAATCCTCTTCTCTGGATAAAGCACGGCATTCATTTCTTGCATCTGGGATTTCAACAATAAGAATAAGACCAGCAAGTATAGCAAACACATATAGGGATTCAGCTCGGTAACGGAGAAGAATGGCAAAGAACAACATGTACCTTGGTGATTGCCTTCAGGTCAGGCCGCTTTGATGGGCGTTTCTCTTTCTCCTCAGCTTCAGCCTCTTGCTTACTGCTCTTCTGCATTTATAAGGGCAAAGTAGCATACAAAATTACCGAACAGTTTTCACCATGATACAACTCATAGACCCATAAGCACAGTTAACGAACAAACGCATACGAGAAATCGGTATTACATAAATTCCAAGACAGAGCTAAGATTCGCACCTTTTTACCCCCTTTGGTCTGACGTTTGAGGCCACTCTTAGCCTCAATCTCCTGTAGCGCAGCCTGAGCTCTTTTCTGCTCCTCCTGTATCAACATGCTTACAAGTTCAGCGAAAAACATGAACCAAACTGGATAATACCTGAGCATTCAGACACACAACGGTACCTGCACAAAGTGGAGGTAGTGGCTGTTGAACGCCCTCAATGTCTCCTTCACCCTCAGCTTGGCGCTCTTCCCTGTCCCCGTCGCATCGTCTTCCGCAGCAACGCCAGCGCAAGAGACCGGCACCGCCGCAATCACGGGCATCGGCTTCCTCTCACCCGCCTCGACCTTGGAGACCTTCCTGCCAGGGCTCTTGGCACCCTGCTGCGCCGCCACCAGCTCTGGCTTCTCCTCATCCCTCTTCCGCTTGCCCCGGCCCCGGCCGCCGGGCTTTTTAGGAGGCTCCTGGTCCGCGTAGCTGGGCCGGGTTGGCCTATTGAGGCAACGAGCACTGCGGCGCAGCACGAGCTCCTCCACCACCAGCGGCGGCGGCGGGTTCAGGGGAGTGGCGTCCATGAACGTCGGGCTCGGGACCGGCGCCACCGAATCCACCTTCGCCATCCACCAGCTTCACCACACCAGCCCCAACAAAACCCCAACGAAGTTAGAACAGAGGAACCGAAAACCCCACTTGCAAACGAGCGCAGCAATATACTTGGCGGCGAGTCCCAGACCGCCGCGTCGAGAGCAGCCAGAGAGACGAGGAGCTCACCCTTCCGATGCTGCCGCAGAAGACGAGGAGCTCACCCTGCGCTCCGCGATAGCGGGAATGGCGGAAGACGAAGGGGAGGGGAGAGGAGAGCGTAGCGTCCAGAACAGAGCAAAATAGGCAGGGGTTGGGTGCTGCGCACGCGCTGCGCGTCCTCGGCCCTTTCTGGCTGCGGGAGACAAATGACGATACTGCCCCTGAGTGTTGGGGCGTATTCATGGGCACTGCCACGTCGGGATAGGCTGGGCGTGTTTGAATTTTGGGCGAGGCGCACATTGGGCGGCTGAGGATTGGCGATTCGAATCGAAAGCGCCCGCAGCACCGTTCGATTGGGGGATGCGGTGTTTGAACCCGACATGACCGCTGCGCCAGTGGTGTACGTGTAGTACCAGAATCGCCAACGGGCAACGGCCCAATGCGGGGATTTCCATGCATACCTTTTCTACTGTCTGGCCTTGGCCTTGTTTAGATTACAAGTTTTCTCACTCTTTCTTCATCACATCAAATCTTTGGATACATGTATGGAGTATTAAATGTAGATAAAAAAATAACTAATTACACAGTTTGATTGTAAATTACGAGACGAATCTTTTGAGCCTAGTTAGGCCATGATTGGACAATAATTGTCAAATACAAACGAAAGTGCTACAGTGCCAAATATTGATTCCTTAGATTGCTTCAAAGTTCCAAGTTTTTTCACTCTCTCTCCATCACATCGAATCTATGGATACATACATGCAGCAGTAAATATAGATAAAAAAATAACTAATTACACAATTTGATTGTAAATTACGAGACAAATCTTTTGAGCCTAGTTAGTCTATAATTGGACAATAATTGTCAAATACAAATAAAAGTGCTACAATGCTAAATTTTTCTAACTCTTGCAATCTAAACCAGGCCTCTCTATGATTTCTAGGAGCTAAAAAGGGCAAACTAGCTGTGGGACTGGGCTTTTCCTAGATTCCAGGCAATGCAGGAGTTGTCTCGTTTTGACCAAAAGACAGGGTGTACAGTCAATTACTCTCTCCATCTCATTGGTCCTGTTCGGATGGTATAGTTCTGAAGGAATTGGGATAGTTTGGAGAAATTCTGGAGGAATTTGTGAGAGAAAAACACTGTTCCAGATGAAAAAAAGCGGATCAAGTCGGGTTTAAGGGCACGCGAACAGGGCCATTGAAAGTTCCATTTTTTACTTTTAAACTTCTTGTTTGACTATTCGTCTTATTCAAAAAATTTATATAAATATTATTTATTTTTTATGACTTATTTTATCATTAAAGATACTTTAATAATAATTTATTTAATTTATTATTTATATTAAAAAATTAAATAAGACGAACAGCCAAATAAAAAGTTCAAAAGTCAAAAACGACATTTTTTATAGGACGGGAGTCATCACTGAGTATGATGTGACATGTTGTCTCACTGTTTATTGTCTTTTTTATATGATAGAGTTATTGTGCTCTTTTGAATTTTCGATGGGCTTTTCCTGGATTCCAGGCAGTTGTCTGATTGTGACCGAAAGACAGGGTGTACAGTCAATTACTCTCTCCATCTTATTGAAAGTGCTGTTTTTTTACTTTTAGGGCTCGTTCGGCTGGCTGAATCTTGGTTGAAATTGGCTAAAAGATATTGTTCTGGCTGAAATGTTGTGAGAGAAAAACACTGTTCCGGCTGAAAAAAGAAGCCAAACAAGCCGGATATGGGATAAGCCGAACGGGACCGACTTCTTGTTTGACTGTTCGTCTTATTCAAAAAATTTATATAAATATTATTTATTTTGTTATGACTTATTTTATCAGTAGAGATACTTTAATAATGATTTATTTATTTTATTATTTATATTAAAATTTTGAATAAGACGAACGATCAAACAAGAAGTTCAAAAGTCAAAAAACGACACTTTTAATGGAACAGAGAGAGTACATCGCAGGGTATGATGTGACATGTTGTCTCACTGTTTATTGTCTTTTTTATATGATAGAGTTGTTGTGCTCTTTTGAATTTTGCGACAGATATACAGCTACGATCAAAAGACAGAGTATACGTTCAATTGTGTCATATGTGTGCTACATCGATATGGTGGAGCTATCGGGCCTGTTCGGCAAGACTGGAAAATACTGTTCCGGCTGATTGTTGTGAGAAAAAAATACTGTTCTGGCAAGACGTGAATAGTGATTTCGTGAGAGCGAGAATCAGCCAGCCAGCCGGCTTAAAGCCAGCCGAATGGGCTCATCATTATTTTTGACTGACGTCTTCATTGAAGAGCACTCATTTAATGGTCACAAATAAGTATCCCTCCTGCCACCCACCTTGTACCAACCCAAACCAGCTAAGTAAGGTGGCTACAACAAGCAAGTTGCGACAGGTCAACACAACAAAAGGCTTAGAGCGTGTTTGGTTTTGTAGCCAGCTAGCCTCGAAAAACTTGCCAACACAAAAATGCTTTGTATAGCTTCCAACCACAGAAAAAATATTGGCACAAACTTGCCAAAGACACACACTCCGAGAATAGCTAGTTGGCTATTCAAACACATTTATAACTTTAGTTTCTCACTCATAATGGTTAGTCAATATTTGCCTAAGAAACCTAAGGCGCCCTTATTAGGAGTTTTTGCCTGAGAAACCAAATGTGCTCTTGTTTAGGACTTTTAGGGTATGCTTGGTTCACTTTCCAAAAGGATCCCATTGAATATGAGACATGATATGGTGTCATATGGCTAGGTGGAGAAGATCAAGAGGCGAGGCTTGGCTATGAAGGATAAATTGCAAGCGTGAAGGGCAAGCTAGAGACTCAGGTGCGATGGATCGTCAAGGCGCTGAAGTGCGAGTAGAGGGCTTGGCACCGATGGATCGAGGTAATGGTGAAGAGCAAGCGAGGCTACGATCGATGAACCAATAAGACCATGTGAAGCTATGAAGTGGAATATTTCATTCATGGAAGATAAGTCAAGCGTTGCTTTGTTGTGGTGATCAAGTGGCTTGATGGAGAATGAAGGAGGAGCTTCATGCTATAGGCAATTATCAAGGTAGCGTGGTTGGCTACATTGATGGATGACCATTGTTCATCATTTGATCAAGATGGAGGTTAGATGCTTGTTGTGGCATCACCGACATGGAGATAGAATGGAATGTGCAAGGCAAAGGTATATTTGTAGGGCATTTCATTTCACCGGTCAAGGGTTGAGTAGAGAAGTGTTTGACTAGGTTTAGGATAGATAGTCATACTATCAAGAGGGGCTTTCTTGTGAACTGAATGGTTACTAGTACCACTAGGAGAGAGATCTAACTCATGTTGCATTTAGATCGAGTGGCGTGGAAAGCAATCAAGTGAAAATGCTTTGAAAAATATTTTGAAATGGTAACTTAGTGCTAAAGTGTTGGTGTTCATGTGGAACACATTTGGAGAGTTAGCACACTTGCGAAAATAGTTTGAGAGATGCACTTGGTGATATTGTTTTGCACTCACCAGAGCCCTCCGGTGTGCACCAGAGTTGTTGTACCGGAGGTTCCAAATAGTGCATATTGTATGGCTAAAAATGCATTCACAAATTACCTTCTGGTGTGCATCAGAGTGCATGCGCTGGAGATTTTGCGCAATAATCTAACAACAGGCGAGAAACAACATTTGAATGCACGAGAGCTATATGCACCAGAGTAGTGCACCGATGCGTAGTTCTTGAGAAGGTTTTAGCATGCGTTTTGGGATGTTTTGAGCGTCGGAGCTCTCTGGTGTGTACAGAGTGGTTGAAAGCTCTAGTTTGGTTTTGGTGAATTAACGAAATCCTAAGTGCTAACCTAATTTATCTAAGTGATCATGAGATAGGTAGCACTATTCCAAGTGGTGGAGCAATGGTAAAGATCATGATGATGGTGTGACCATGGTGATGATCAAGTGCTTGGACTTGGAAAAATAAGAAAGAAAAACAAAAAGCTCAAGGCAAAGGTAAAACTTGATAGGAGCTTTTTGTTTAGTGATCGAGACACTTAGCGAGTGTGATCACATTTAGAATCGATAGTCGTACTATTAAGAGGGGTGAAACTCGTATCGAGATGCGGTTATCAAAGTGCCACTAGATGCTCTAACTTATTGCATATGCATTTAGACTCTAGTGAGTGCTAACACTCTTAAAAATGTTTGTGAAAATATGCTAACACACGTGCACAACGTGATACACTTGATGGTTGGCACATTTAATCAAGGGTGGCAAAGTTGGAGTTGAGAAGGGGCTGTCTTGAGGTGACCGGACGCTGCTCCAGCAGCGACCGGACTCAGTAGCCACGTCCGATCAGTGACACGCAGTGAAGGCCGCCCTCAGTCCTTTGACCAGATGCTAAACAGTGAAAGTGACCGGACACGCAGGGCCTACGTCTGGTCAGAAGGTGACGTACGCTGACGTCAGTCACGAAGCATTGGTGCGTAGAGGAGAAGAAGAACTGAACTCTGGCTTGGGTCCGGTCACACCTAAGCGAACGCGTCCGGTCATGAAAATCTTCTCTATATGCTTACTAGAAATGATCTGACGCTGGGTTATCGCGGGGAGCAGTGCGTCTGGTCATTGGGTGATGGCATGGGCATGTGTGCGAACAGGGCTGGCACCGACGTGTCCGGTCCTCTCCTGTGCGTCCGGTTATCACTTGAGTGCTGGCATGGGCGAATCTGACCGTTAGGATCACGCTGTGGAGAATCAAATGAAGGAACACGTGGCATAGATCCGTGGACCGAGCGCTGGGGTCCTGCGTCTGGTCGACCCGACCTGTGCGTCCGATCGCCCCGTGGAGGCAGAGCAGTGTGAGCCCAATGACTCTATTTTGTTGGGGCCTCTATTTATGCCCCATGGCTGGCTCAAGCTCACACTCTTGGTTATTTACATTGACATAGCAACCTTGTGTGCTTAGCCAAAGCCCTCCCACTAATCTCCATCATTGATTCATCATCTTTGTGAGATTGGAAGTGAATCCAATTGCATTGCTTGAGTGATTGCATCTAGAGACACTTGGTGTTCGTGTTTTGCTGTGGGATTCGCTTATTACTCATGGTGGTTGCCGCCACCTAGATGGCCTGGTGCAGTGAGGATCGTTGAGCAGAGGAAGGTTTTTATCTCCGACTCCGATTGTGGTGATTGTGAGGGGTTCTTGACATTTTCCCAACGAAGAGCCAAAAGGTACTCTAGTGGATTGCTTGTGGCTTATATGATCCTCATCTTGTGTTTGTTGTATGGCACTCGGTTGCGGGTTTGGCGTGTGATTGTATTTAGCACGTGAACCTCCAAGTGAGTGAATCACCACAGTGGGGACTAGCTTGTCGGCAAGCAAGTGAACCTCAGAGGAAAAAACATTATGTCTTGATCGTCT